GCCCCGTGCAGTCGCCACCATGGTGCTGGCCTCCGCCGCCGCCGCCGTGTTCGTCATCGGCTCGCTGGTGATCTTCTGGTTCTCGGTCGATATCTATCGGTTCGCCAAGCGCGTGGCGCTGACAGTCACCTCCATGCTGCGACACGAGCTGTCGACCGCGTGCAAGTACGAACCGCTGTAGGCGGCCGGCGGCCGGCGGTCTCGGTCTGCCCCGGTCGTCTCTGGGGGGCGCGAGCAGGCGCGGCGCCGGCACGGGCAGCCGCGGACCGCCGTCATGAATCAGGCTGTACCATTGACGATAATGGAAACGTCACTCAGGACACGAGCAAATCTGACCGTACCAATGGCCAGGATTGGAATGTGATTCAGAACAACAGGAAGCGACTGTGCCGATGGCAATGGCAAGGACATCGCGCTGAACCAGACTGGATAATACGGCCGGCCGGTCGCTAGCATGTGAGTGGCAGTCTGGACCAGCGTGTGGATGCGGCAAGGCTGAGAGGAGCGCTGATAACCGGGACATGCATTTGTGTGCCGATTGCAAGGAACAGGAAGACGCACGCGCCAGAAAAGGCCGGGATGTTGGCAAGGACGTGGCCGTTGCCAGAGCCTGAGCGATACTCAGTGGTGGGAATGGACCTGACCCTTACGGTAATCACAGGTCAGGGGCGCTCTACATCAGATCGTACCGGACTGTACGCGCTGTACCAGTTGGAAACGTGCAGTTGAGTTCAGTTTCAGCGGCTACCCGTGCTGCTAGCGGCCGACGCTGGAAAAGCGAGCCACTTCAGTATGATCTCGTTAGGTGATCATGGGATCAGAAAGGACTGGAGAGGAGGTTATTTATTTTGCCCTTTGTTTCTCTTCTTAGCTTTTATGCATGTATGCTACGTGGCCAGAGAAGGGTGTTTATATAGATTGTGTGCCATCGTTCACCATGTGAATAAACCTGACCCCATGCTGCGACGAGTCTGTTGTTGCAAGGAAAGCACCGTGACCAATCCGGGAAATTTGTTTGAAATAGGCCTAACTTGTGAGTACTCGTTACATTTTTGTTCATCCCCGATGAAACAGTCTCAGCGCGTGAGCGTAAAGCTTATTTGTATTTTTTTCCTGCGCATTTCTTCGTATCATAATGCTTCGTGCACAAAGTTTCGTAGGCAAGTGCGTGCGTAAATTTTCCCCGTGCGTAAATCTTCCCGCAAGTTGATTCTTATGCGCAAAATTCCAGTCCGCAAAATTTGCACACGTAGCTCTTCGTATCCCATTGTTTGTGGGGTATTCCTTTGTGCACGTAAATGTTCGTATCGCGTCAATCGCGAAGACATTTCTGTGCATACATGGTTGTTTGTAGCGCATTTCTGTATGCGGTTGCTTGCATCAAATATATTTGATCGTCATTATCGTGGGCTGGAACGGCATTTTCTTATCATCCCCCGTTGCTCCGTTGTTCGTTCTTCGTTATCCTGTCCCCTGTTGTTCATTAGGCATGCTATTCTCGTGCTGAGAGGTTCCTTCCGCCGCCCCGTTGATGGCCATCTCCGGGGTGGGCCGTATGGAGGTGATGAATGACATGACCGCTGGTACGCGTCCCCTCGTCCGTCCGCCTTAGGCAATCAGACGTTGAACGCGCTCACAAATGTGTGGCGAGCACGCAGGTTCGCGTCCCAGGCGCCTCACATGGCTTAGGTCCGGCTGCCATATCCACGATTATCTGCAGACAGCAGCTGTTCATTCTACTGCCCAGGGCTGTAAAAGACTCTATCAGTCCTGTCTCGATGCAAACAAGTACCGCGGAAACGTGGGCTAGCTATGTTGACTCAAGCGGTGCCGAAGGATGAAAGCGCCAGGTGGGGATGCGGGATAGCGCTCCTGATCTGCTCTTGGGCTGATCAAATGTAAATGACACTCAGCAGAACAAAACGCTGCGCATGTGGAAGCAAACCACACCCCACTTCTCCAGTTTCCTCGAACTATAACACCAGCGGGTTAACAGGTAGCCGCCATAGCCAACTTGGCAGGGAGGGATCAATGGTGCACATACACCAGCTTGATATATTGGGCGTCTGACTGTGCTCGCGTGACACGCTGCGATGCTGCTTCCCTTCATCACCTCGCTGTTTCGCCACCCAACACACTGTATAACCGGCAGTTACCTACCGCAATTCAAACTATCAGTGCGCATGCGTGCGGTTAAACCGGAACGGGCAGGTTTACATTTCCACGATTGCAGCATCTGCATACGAACTAAGCTTTGCCCATGCGTTGAAGTACGCAGCGCAGGAAGTGCATCTGTGTAAGCCAGATGAAGCACGTGCGCGACGACGAAATGCGGCAAAATAGTTGGGCGGACGAAGAAACTTGTCCCGCCTCTCCCCCCCCCCCCCCCCCGTAGCTCAGTCGGTTAGAGCGCCTGCCTCCCATACCGCCCATGGTTGGATGGGTGGGTTGGATTCGCCCCGGCCTTCGCTATTTGCCTGCGCTGAGATGGTCTGCGGCCAATGGCGGAGGCCGCGCAAGGCAAGATGATATCAGAGGGCACGGCAAACCGTAGCGAGCATCGTGACACATTGGACTTCCGCAAACAGTTCTGCCGGTAAACTGGTGTTTCACGTTCCGATGGTGGAGTCAGAATTTAAACAACAAGGCCGGGTTAGCGCGAACTCTAATCCCAGAAGTTCATCCATAAAATGTCCGAACCCTTATCCCAGAAGCTCATCGATAAAATGTCCGAACTCGTATCCCAGAAGTTCATTCGTAAAATGTCCGAACTCGAATCCCAGAAGTTCATCCATAAAATGTCCGATCGTAAGGTTGTTTAAGAGATGCGATTTGAAGAATTGTGTATTCAGACAAATGGTATGCGACGAGCTTCGTAAGCGAGTGAATGTTCTGTCAATCATTACGTATACGAAGCAGTCTGATACGAACAATACATCAATCTAGGATGCAATGCGATCCGAAAAAGTGCTATATGCAAAGAAACGCTTTGCGAAGAACTATATTGGTATGTTGAGGACTGATGCGAAAAATTGCACACACGAATAAATGCAATACGAATCATCGCGTAAACCAAGTTATGCGGATGCTACGCTCTCCGGTGTATACAAATTTATCGGTGCATTCCTGCACGTGGTAAGATTTGCGGGCAAATATATGCGATTCGACATTTTGCGTACGAATTTGCGTGCTTAGGAAAGAGCACTTCGAAGAAATGTGGTACGAGGCTCTGTGCAGGCACTGCCTGTAAACACGTGACCCACAGTGTTAACAGGCAGTAGCTTAGAAAGCGATTGCTGTGAGGTCCCTGAGAAAGTCAACCAGCTCCAGAGGGGGCCGTTTTAGGTAGAGCAGATTGACGGCGACACCGTCCTTCCCGGCCGCCAACACTAGATGTGTCAGCTTGTGACAACCGTGCAGCCATGGATATTGAACTGAAGCTGAAGGTTTTCCCAGTGGCAGGCCTGTGGCTGTCACTGCGAGGACGTTAGTGTTCAGGATGTGCGTCTTGAGCCTATCTGGAATACGTTATTTCAGTTCATTGTCCTTGGCGGCACAGCTGACGCCAGAATCGGAAAGTGACGTCGTGTATATTTGTTCTGCCGAGCATGGATTTCAGTGTGCTGTTCAGCTTCAGTTTGTGCCCTGTACGGGAGGTAAATATTGCTAGACATGACAACATGGCGCGTTTGGGTGGTCAGTAAACGGCTCTTCAACGACATTGGACTCCAGAAAAGCTGTTTGTACGCTTACTCGCCATAAATGCTTTTTACATCAGCTACATAAATTGTTAAGCTACCACTGATGTCATCACTTCCAATAACCCACGTAAATAAGCTCGTTCATCCAGTATCGTCCTGTAAAATTATCTGACATCGGTGTGCATTCACTATTATGGGAAGTCCAGTGTCCGGTCCAGCACATGTAAACGCGAGAAAATCAACGGGTTGCCTGGTGCGGCAAATATTGGCTTGACAACTAATAAATCCCTCAAAACAAAGTTGTCCGTTAAGACCAGTCATCAGCTCGTCGTCTAGCAGTAGGTTACGGCGTCTTGATGATGACGGTGCCGTTCCAGTACAGCAGTCTTCAGCAGCATCGTTCTTTGTTCATCTTGTGCCGTTTCGCAATATTGACAACGAAAGGAAGCTTCGCTGGGTCCTTCGCTGCAGCTCGCCCAAGTGGTATCGGTACATTATCGTAGCATTTCCCGCATTGGGCGTGCATCTTGGTCTGCGACGAACGCCGCGGCTTGAAGATTGCAGTTGGACTTCCCAGCTGCGCACAGTCGTTCACCGCAGCATGTTTGTGCAGCTGTGGTGAATCGTTTTTAACCAGGCTGAATGAATGAGTGACGGGTGTGTCTCTCTACACCAGCGCGTGGTGGTGTTTTTCCTCTCTTCTCAATGTTGTTGGCAGTGTTTAGAAGTACACAGATTATGAACTGTTTGCCATAAACAGCTTGTTTCTATTTGCACGGTTATGCACTACGTTCTATGCCATCCCAATCGTGTTAAGCCTACATATTCACAATGAATGATGGATGCGTGGTTACAGTGCTGCACATTTATGACGTCGCGCGCTGGAACGTCACATGGTTGATGCGTGGTTACAATGCTGCACATTTATAACATCGCGCGCTGGAACGTTACATGACTGATGCGTGGTTACAATGCTGCGCAGTTATGACATCGCGCGCTGGAACGTCACATGATTGCTGCGTGGTTCCAGTGCTTCGGAGTCATGGCATAATTGATAATAAACAATTAATGTGTATAAACAATTAATATGTATTACTGCATATATACATTGTTGCGGAGTTATGACAGTGCACGCTGAAACGTCACATGATTGAGGCTTGGCTGCAATGCTGCGGAGTCATGGCCATCGCGCGCTGAAATGCCACACTCTGTTTCTAGCCATCCCAGACGTTGTAAATACTAGTTGGTGTGCGCGCGCTGAGAACAAGTTCTCATTAACCCGTGCATCTATTTCCTCAGTTCTCTACATGGGTGGACGCTGTCATATTCGTCTTCAGCCTGGAGAATGAGAGCAGCTTCAATGCCATCTACCACTACTACAGCAAAATGAACTTCTTCCGGAATACCGCCGAAATCCCAATCATTTTGGTTGGGACGCAAGGTAAATATTCTACGATAGGTCATATTGGCCGGACGTGATCATGTTATCGGCCCAGAGCGCGGCACTTCACCCGGCTTTGTAAGCGTGCGACATCCGCGATCTCCGCCGAACGTCGCCACGGCCGTCACGCGAGGCTATCTCCCAGCGGCGCGCCGCCGCGGACCTGTGCCTGGCGACGGGAGCCGCGGCAGCTCGGCAGCGCCTCGGAGGGGTCCGTGAGTCACCCGATAGCGGAGTATCTGTGGGGGCTCGAGCGTGACGGTGTGTCGTGCCGCCGCCGCAGACGCCATCAGCGAGACCAACCCGCGCATCATCGACGACAGCAGCGCCCGCAAGCTGGCCGGCGGCCTCAAGCACTGCTCCTACTTCGAGACGTGCGCCACGTACGGCCTGAACGTCGAGACCGTCTTCCAAGTGGGTGAGTTTTCGGTGTCGTACGCCGGGCGGGCGGGAGACCTTCGCGCCGGAGGGTGCACGCGGGTCGACGCGGTCCGACGAAGCGGGGCTCCTGCGGTGATCTGGTGCGGCGTTGCCTCGGGGTCGATGCGCCTCAAAGGCCGCAGGTGAGCCGGTCAGTGTCGTGTTGTGTGCAATTATGGAAACAATGCAAGGATTCGCCGTCAATGACGCCATTGTGTTTGCTCGCATTCCGTCGCGACGCTGCAGTTGTTGGCGTCATGCATCGCTGCGGATGTTTCCGGCCGCCACAGCATACGTGTGTGAGCTTGCTGGGCTGGGCTTTAGCGTCAGCTGGGCTCGATACGGCTGAGCTGTAGCGTCAGCTGGGCTTGGTGCGGCTGAGCCGGAGCGCCTGCTGGGCTGGGCTGTAGCGTCAGCCGGGCTCGGTGCGGTTGAGCTGTAGCGTCAGCTGGGCTCGGTGCGGCTGAGCTGTATCGTCAGCTGGGCTCGGTGTGGCTGAGCTGTAGCGTCAGGCGACTGAGCTGTAGCGTCAGCTGGTTTGAGCTGTAGCGTCAGCTGGGTTGAGCTGTAGCGTCAGCTGGGTTGAGCTGTAGCGTCAGCTGGGCTAGGCTGTAGGGTCAGCCGGGCTCGGTGTGGCTGAGCTGTAGCATCAGACGACTGAGCTGTAGCGTCAGCGGGGTTGAGCTGTAGCGTCAGCTGGGCTAGGCTGTAGGGTCAGCCAGGCTCGGTGCAGCTGAGCTGTATCGTCAGCTGGGCTGGTGCGGCTGAGCTATAGCGTCAGCTGGTCTGAGCTGTAGCGTCAGCTGGGCTGGTACGGTCGATGCCGGCTCGGGGCCTGACGGTGCCTGCCTGCCGCAGCCTGCCAGAAGGTGATCCAGCAGCGGGCGCTGGCGGCGCGGCCGGCCGGCTCGCGGCCCACCACGCCCAGCCACATGGGCCGCTACCAGTCGGCGGCCGCCTTCCTGCCCAGCAACGGCCACTCGCCGCCGCCGCCGGCGCCCGCCTCCGCCTCGGCCTCGGCCTCGGCCTCGGCCTCAGCCTCGGCCTCCAGCCGCGACAGCCCGCCGCAGCTGCGACACCCACCCACGCCGGCCAAGGTACGGACGTCGGCGTCGGCGTCGGCGACCGGGGCGGGGCGGGGCGGGGCGCAGCCGTGTGGCACGTGAGAGGCGTCGCCCGCGGGTGTGGCGTGCTCGCGGGCCGTTCGTGGGGTGGGGGTGGGGTCCAGGCATCAGCCGGGACCGATGGCACACTCGGCTGACGTTCGCGGGAGAAGGATTCATAAGGGAAAGTGTGCTTGCACAGCGTGATACGGTTGTGAGCTGTAATTATACGGGCAACAATGGAACGAGCAGCACTCTCTAGGATTAGATCTAGCAGCACTTCTGTTGCACCGGCTCCGTTTGTTGATGAAAAACTGCGCGGGCATTTCGGCAAGGGACAGAAGGATGGTTCAGTGAGACCCGGTGCGGCTCAGGATATACGTCTACTGCCACTGAGCCAGCATGTGCAAATTTGGTCCAGATTTCGCCTGTGCTTTATAGTAAGAATATGTTCGCTCGGTGCGTGCTAACCACACTGTACCACTCCTTTCGTGGCCATAAATATCGACGAAATCTGATTGAATGTGTAAGACTCTATGAGCCGGTGCATTTGTGGTGTATTCCTGCCGCTCGCATCTCCCGCTGCTAAACGCAGTCTGTGCGCCGCTGTGCGGGCCCTTAACTGACCGGACGTCCTCTGGCGCTACTGTCGCGCGCAGGAGCTGTCGCTGCGCCAGACGCACTCGATGTCGGCGCCGCCGCACGAGCTGCACATGCCGCCGCCGCCGCCGCCCGGCTCGGTGGCCCGCTCCGACTCGCTGCGCGGAGACGACGCCAAGCGGATGGTGGCGCCCGGGGAGCCGCCGCAGCACCTGCCGACGCCGAGCTCGACACCGACCACGGCCAGGTGAGAGGGTGCGAGGCGGACCTGCACACACCGACCACGGTCAGGTGAGAGGGTGAGAGGCGGGCCTGCACACACCGACCACGGCCAGGTGAGAGGTAGGCCTGTATACACCGACCACGGCCAGGTTAGAGGGTGAGAGGCGAACCTGCACACACCGACCACGGCCAGGTGAGAGGCGGGTCTGCACACTCTGACCACGGCCAGGTGAGAGGTAGGCCTGCGCGCACCGACCGCGGCCAGGTGAGAGGCGGACCTGCACACACCGACCGCGGCCAGGTGAGAGGCGGACCTGGACACACTGACCACGACCAGGTGAGAGGCGGACCTGCACACACCGACCACGGCCAGGTGAGAGGGTGAGAGGCGGACCTGCACACACCGACCGCGGCCAGGTAGACCTTCGCACACCGACCACGGCCAGGTCAGAGGCGGACCTGTTCGCACCGACCACGGCCAGGTGAGAGGCGGACCTGCACACACCGACCGCGGCCAGGTGAGAGGCGGACCTGGACACACTGACCACGGCCAGGTGAGAGGCGGACCTGCACACACCGACCACGGCCAGGTTGAGAGGGTGAGAGGCGAACCTGCACACACCGACCGCGGCCAGGTAGACCTTCGCACACCGACCACGGCCAGGTCAGAGGCGGACCTGTTCGCACCGACCACGGCCAGGTGAGAGGCGGACCTGCACACACCGACCGCGGCCAGGTGAGAGGTGGAACTGCCTGGCCCGGTCGCCCTGTTCCCGGTCGCCAGTCGATACCGCGCTGTCCTTCGCACCCAGTCGCCGATCTGCACCGCCCTGTCCGCCTGCCCTGTCTTTAGTCACCGGTGTGTAGCGCACTCTCCGCCTGCCGCAGGAAGAGCCGGCGGCGTTCAAACCTGTTTGCGCCGTCGCGGAAGGCGGCTGATGACGAGCGGCGCCTTAAGACGGCCGAGCTCGGCAGTGGCCGGGCCATCCCCATCAAGCAGGGATACCTGTACAAGCGCTCGCAGAAGGCGCTCAACAAGGACTGGAAGAAGAAGTACGTCACCATCAGCGACGACGGCAAGCTCACCTACCACTCGTCGCTGCACGTGCGTACTGGCGGGGGAAGGGGGAGGGGCGCCGCCGGCGCCGCCTGGCGTCGGTCGTCGCATCCGGTCCGCCCCCTGCGGGCCGGTGGTGGCGCCGTCCGTGCTCGGGCCGGCCCGCTGGTAGACTACGCCCGGTGGCGCTGAGGCGCCGCTGGTGGGGCCCGTCTGGTGGGGTGTCTGAAACGGCCAGTGAGGCGCCGCTAGCGGTCATGCGCCGCTGGCCGGGCCGGTCTGATGGGGTGTCTGGGGCGGCGAGTGAGGCGCCGCTGGCGGTCAGGCGCCGCTGGCCGGGCCCGTCTGGTGGGGTGTCTGGAGCGGCGAGTGAGGCGCCGCTGGCGGGGCCCGTCTGGTGGGGTGTCTGGAGCGGCGAGTGAAGCGGCCGCAGGTGCCGGAAGGGGAGTGCCACTCGTTTGTGCACCCTTTGTCTGTGCGGACGATACAACCCAAAGTGTGTCATAGAGGCGCTGTTCGTGTAAGTAGCTCCGTATAATGTATTGCCAGCTGCACTCTAGCGTGCAGGAACCGCCACTACTGGCGTTTCCTGTCCTTGTCTGAAGGAATGAGCGGTCTTCACTGAAGGCGTTTAGACACGTGTCACATGGGCTGTCTGTCACGTTTGCTATATTTTTCAGGAGTATATGGATGACGCACACGGAAAGGAGATATGTCTACAGTACACAACGGTAAAGGTGCCGGGACAACGGCCAAGGGGCTCCAAGTCGATACCCAACTCCAACAACAACAACCTGGCCGACAACATCGGCAACCTGACGCTGAACTGTGAGTATGCTTCGGTCTCCAGGCCTGATGGCGGCTCCGTTTACCCGGTGTAGCATTGCAGCGCCTCGTGTTGCCCATTATACTGCACTACTTGTCAAGTTTTGCTTTTGATCCCCCACTTTGTTTACCTAGCTAATGTGTCCCACTGCTCAGAATCACAAACTTCAGACGGTTTTTGATGTTCAGTAGACATGGTCTTGCGTGAGCTAAAGTTGAGTTTCGTCCCGTTCGACCTCATTTCTTCCGATGCAGCGAGGACGCAAGGTGTCGATCCACGCCGAGTTGTGCTGCGCGCGGTATCCTGGCAGGCACGTCTCGACGTTCAGCGACTATTCAAAGTCGGCCTCGCCTGCGAGCCGGATTTCCCCGCCCGGCTGCTACCCACCCCAGTAACCCCGTCGCCTGCCCGCCCTCAGCCAGCGGCAGCCTACCGGGACACACGCGCGCCGGCAAGGACAAAGTGACGCTGACGGCGTACGAGGCGCTGCGGGACCCGTCGGGCCGCGACGACGGCGCCATCCTGACCAACTCGTCGCTGTCGCTGCTGAACGGCGGCGGCGCGCTCACCGCCGACACGCCAAACGTCAAGAAGCGGCACCGGCGCGTCAAGAGCAGCGGCGTGCGCAGCGCAGAGAACGACGCCGACTCGGACGGCTACGAGTTCTCGGTGGTGTCGCTCGACAACAAGGTGTGGCACTTCGAGGCGGGCAGCCAGGACGAGCGCGACGAGTGGGTGTCGGTGATCGAGCAGCAGATCCTCACCTCGCTTCAGGTGAGCGCGGACCGGTCTCCAGCCGCCGGCCTCGCCGGCGGGGCGAGACGGCCGGCTGCCGCCCGGTGTAACCATGTCGATGATGCTGGGCTGGGATGTTGGTTGGGAAGTGGGAGTGGGATTGGGATGGTCGGTGCTGTGAAGCAACGTCGTCATCGTACGGGCGTGGAGTCCGCGGCCGAGTGCCGTTTCGAAGTGGGGAGTGAATTTGCGCAGTGACCAAGTCGGGTAGCGCTCCGGGATATTTGGCGTGGCGCTCAAGCTATAACGTGGCCGGTGGATGTCTCCGGAAATACCAACACTTTTGGTGGGACTAGAGCCCACTTGGTGCCTTGCGTCGGACCCAAAGGGCTCGACGCTCGCTGTTGGGTCGAGGCCGGCACTCGGGTCACCGGACCAGCGCGTGCGTAGCCAGAATGCGACGACGGCTCGGCGCGGCCCCACTACCGTAGCCAGAAGGCGACGACGGCTCGGCGCGACCCCACTACCGCAGTCGCACATGTCGAGCCGACCGGTGATGGTCTGGGACTGGGAACCAGCGCGGGGTGCGCAGGCGTACCGTTTGACGCCCGATGCATGTGGTGTCTGATGCCGTCATGTCGCCACCGAAGTGCCAGAACGCGTGACGTGACATCACGCGCGACACGTGCCGTCCTCGGCTGGCCCGGCGACCGATCGGCCCGTGTCGACCCCCGCTGACCAGGGCTTAACCGTGTCCGGCAGAGTAACGAGAGCAGCAAGTCCAAGTCACGCATGAACAGCCTGGTGGACCCGGCGTCGCTGCAGGCCATCAAGAACTCCGTGCCCGGCAACCTGACCTGCGTCGACTGCGACGCGCCAAGTAAGGTGTACCGTCGGCGGCGCGACCGGCCTGCCGGGCCACCGATGACATAAACTTACGCCTCTTGCGACCCCAACCACGTGCTGGGAAAAAATAGACACCGATTTTTGACTCGAGCTGTTGCGTTTTTTGCATGCAGTGCTGGGGTGACGGTGGAGGCTGGGCGGGTCAAGTGCGAAACAAGAGCGTCGGGCATCATCTTACTGGGCAGGCGTGCCTATTATACGATCTTTTCGTATTTGGGAGCTTTCGTTGATTTCGACTAGATTTCGAAAAGGCGTGGTCCCCTTTTATCGCGAATGTTACCTTAATATTACATATGTTATATAATATTACAAATATTACCTTCGCCGGAGAACTATATTAAGATAAATGAGGTGAGATGAACTAACAATTCACATGCGCAAGTGGCTGAAAAACACATTTTGCACAACATGCACAACACCAAACTGTGTTGCATGTTGAGCGCGGGACGCGAACACACGGAGGCCGCCTCAGTGAAGTGTGGTTGTGCTTATCACCGCTACATGAACACGCTCGCTGTATGTGGGGGGGGGGGGGGGGCGTGACGCTCACCTTCACGTGAGCTGCAGCTCTCGCGCTTGGTGGGTGGACGGAAGGGAGGGGATGTGACGCTCACCTTTACGTGGGCTGCAGCCTTAGCCCTTGGTCTGGCGGGTGGACGGAAGGGGAGGGGGCGTGACCCTCACCTTCACGTGCGCTGCAGCCCTTGGTCTGGCGGGTGGGCTTCCCCGCCCAACGACTGCATGCTTGTTTTGTTTCACTGATGGACGTGGTACATTGACAACTAGTGATAAGCTTGTATCGGTCAGGTGAATCAACGCTGGCTTATGTTGACATCATTGTTTGGTTATCCTGGGTATGCATTGTAAACCCGTGCATTGCTTTGCGGGATCGACCTTTCCAAGAGACGGCTTCGAGTTAAACATGTAGAAACTTGGGCATATCCTCCTGATGAAGCTGGCAGCTGTCTTTTGATGCTTTTAATGCCATAAGAAGCTTGCAATTTGTCACAATACGTCTGCAGCGTTTTGGCGTTGACGTGTACGCCATTGATAGCGAGTGCGCGGAAACGGTGCTTTCGATTGCAGTAGTGTTTTGGCCCTCATTAAGGTCAAAAGCTAACTGCAAAACGACGGTAGCTCGCTTCCGCGCTTTGTTGCGGTCGTAAAGCCGCTTTGTGGCATTTGATTCCTCCGCCCTGTCTTGGAAACGCGAGATAATAAGCTCCTGTGGTGAGCGTGGCCCCGCTCCTCACGCGGCTCATCTCCCTCGAAGACTAACTGACGCCCTCAACCTGCACGGGACGTGCGCGAGGGAGCGTGCCGCGTAAGCTACGGGTTTAAATGGAGACGAAGCTGGAGTTTGCTAGCTTCGCCCACCTTCGCTTCGCGTGGATGGCGGAGTTTGCCTCCATTTCCACAGCATATCCGTGGGTTTTGTTTGAACCGCTCCCAGTCTTGTAAATCGATCACAAATGCCAAAAGACAACTTGAGTCTTGCGTCTTGACGATCTTGGCGCTCACGGTGTGCTGCGAGTCGTCCCATTGGTCGGTTATCGTTCGATCGCTGTGTACTTCAAGTTGAGTTACGTCTTTTCTGTTATTTTTGCGATGCAAGCCCGCCCTGTCCAGTCGTTCGGGCTTGAGTGACGTGTGGCGGCGGTCGCCGAGCGACCTTTGACCTGTCTGGTGTAAGGTGACCGCCGCCGAAAAGTTCACATCCGCTGGCCTGTGGTTGACGTGAGTGACGTGCGCCAACGCTCGGGCGATCGACGGACGTTCTCAGAACACAACTGTCATATTGGCTGCCGTCATGCATGTTGACCAGTGGGCGAAGGCCCTTCTGATGAAACTAAGAGCTCTCTTCATTCTGCATTTTCATTAATGAATTAGCCAATTTTGCCGTCGTACCCAATGCATACGCTCTCCAGTGGTCGGTGTACCCAGGGTTCCCCGGGTTGTGAATTCAGCCATTCAACAAAAGACGTGAGCCGGCCGCGTTGCCATGGCGCATACGCAGCGGTTCACATGCCATCGCATGCCTGCTGGCCATCTGAAGAGAGCCACACAGGTGACGACACTAAACCGGGGCGTGGAGCTCTCTGCGCAGCCAGCTCTCACCCTTGGAAAGCGCGAAGCCTGCCAAAGTGTGCGCTGATTTTGGCCTAAGCGCAGGGAGTTGCGCGTTTTGCCTGGATGCTGCTTACAGTGAGCAAGGTCGCGCGCATCCCCGTGTGTCTTCCGTGTTAGGTCGCCGTGTCAGGTGTGCGTGGGACGATTGTCTCGAGTGACACGGTCGTTCGCCGGCCAATGTTAGAAATAACGCCGAGATCCGGTGGATTCATGTTTTTCATTCTCATTGTGATACGAATGAGGATGATAAATGACATGTCAGTGGGTATATTTTACATATTTGAAACAAGCGAAAATAATAAACGAGCTTTCGGCTTCAAGCTATTTTTAGTGTGTTAATTTGTTTCTACTCTTTCTTTCTCGGCGTTCCTATGTGCCCAATGACGCAGATTTGTACCAGTACTACTATTCTTGTACTTCTCAGTCAAATCTGTCTCTTTCCGCTTTGTTTCGGACACGGTTGTCGAGATCTGGGCCAGGTTTTGACCCGAGCTGCGCCAAGTCTTTGCAAGCTACAATTTGACGTCTGTCTCGTCTTACATTTTTGCTACGAAGTTATGTTTGTCGGAAGGTTGGGGCGGGAATCAGCAAGTGCCATCTTTGGCGTTGACTTCTCTGTTGTGGTCTATTTCCGAAGGATTGAAGTGATCGCCTGCTGAGATGACGTTCAGTGCGGCGTTTCCGCGTCTGACAGAGCGCAGCTTGAGCCGGCGTCTGCAGAGCCGGCTGACGAGCCGTCCGTGTGGCTGTACGCCTGACGAGTATGTCACTCTGCCGCCAGACCCGGACTGGGCCAGCCTGAACCTGGGCGCGCTCATGTGCATCGAGTGCTCGGGCATCCACCGCAACCTGGGCTCGCACGTGAGCCGCGTGCGCTCGCTCGACCTGGACGAGTGGCCGCCTGGCCACCTGGCCGTCATGCTGGCGCTGGGCAACACGGCCGCCAACGCCGTCTGGGAGGGCCGCCTGCCGCCGGGTGAGTGTCAGACGCGGCGTGGTCCAGCGCCGGCGGCGAGGGCTACACTCACAGATGGTCTGCGTGTGCGGCCGGCGTGCCATGACGGCCGCAGCCGTGTGCTCGGCCGAAGCCGGCCGTGACCTGCACGTGGTGGGCAGCCGGCCTGTGGCCGCTGCGGTCTGGTGTTTGGTTGTTTGTCTAGCTGCCAGCCGAGCGGCGGCCGGCGCGGCTGACGGCCGCTGACGGCCGCCGCTGCTGTCCACCCTGACCGTGGCCGGGATGGCGCGCCGACCGCCGACTGACGGCCGCGCCGCCTCCGCAGGCCGCGTCCGGCCGACGCCGGCCAGCAGCCGCGAGGAGAAGGAGCGCTGGATCCGCGCCAAGTACGAGCGCCGCGAGCTGATGGCGCCACCGCCGGCCGCCGCCGCCGGCCTCTCCCAGCTGCTGGTGGACGCCGTGTGCCGCTCGGACGTGCGCGCCACCGCCCAGCTGCTGGTGCACTGCGCGCCCGAGCATGTCAACGGCGCCGTGTCGGCACGCGACGCGCGCACGCCGCTCCACCTGGCGGCGGCGCTCACCAGCCTGCCCATAGTACAACTGCTCCTCTGGGTGGGTACTGGTCATAGTACAGCTTCTCCTGTGAGCGGGTATGGTGAGTGATGTTCACAGAACAGCTGCCTGCTCTGGTTGCGTGTTGCCCATAGCACAACTCATAGCACGAGTGGACGCAGGCGATAGTGCAATAGCTGACCATCTGGGTGGGTACTAATGGTATTATAAGTGATGCTGAGGGAGGGTCCTGGCCGTAGTGAAGTTGGCGGTCTGGGCGGCTACTGCTGGATGTCGAGCTTATGCTCTGTTGGTGCTGGCCGTCGTGCAGCTGCCGTTTCCCGGCTGCTGACACAGCCCGTAGTGTCGCTGGTGTAATGGCTGGAGCTGCGCAGCTGCACCCCTTGGTGGGAGCTTTCCGTACTGCTGCCGGTGCTTCGGATGAGCATCGCGCGCACTACAACGGCTCCTCGAGGGGGGGGGGGCGGGGTGGGGAACTTTATTGCTGCTGATGCCGTAGCTCGCACTGCATGCTCGTCACGCTGTTACTCCATACATGTATAGCATTGCAAGTCAGTATGCACACAATCAGCACAGTCGCTGTGCGTTGTTGACAATGCTCTTCTGGTGGGATACGGGTCCTGTTTTTGAATATGCCCGTTCCCTTTCCCGTGGCAGGTACCTGTGTGGTAACGTTCACGACTTCCTCGTCCATGCGCCGAGCCGGTTATAATGAGTGTTCTAGCTATCAGCAGCATCATGCGGATGTCTGGGGATAACGTGTCTCGGGCGGGATTGACCCCGGGTCATGTGATACGACCTCCGGTTACACCTAATGCACGTGCTGGGTAGCGCGGTCCGACATACGTGCTGCGCGCCGTGACCCGACCTCTTCTGCTGCGCCACGGTGGAGCACCGCCGCGGCGGCACGACAGGCTCGGCGTGCGCTGGTCTCTTGTGGTGCCGCTGTGTGCGCCTGGCATCGCGACGCGCGCTGCCTCGATGTCAATGTGACGCGCGCCGCAACGTTCAGCCTTGAGACTTTTCAGCAAAGCCCATGGGTTCATGCCGCTCTGATTGAAACAATGAAATGTTCGAAATGGCATGTCATCGGACATGACATGATCGTGCCACTCGAAATGAAACACTCGTGCGTTAAATGTCAATCGTTTAATTGTTCGTTTGATGTAGCCTTTTGAGCACAGCATATACTTCTGTCCGTTGGAGCCTGCCTCCCTGCATGCCTTTGGCAATCCGCCTCTTTCTTCTTGTGCATTTTCTTTGCTCTTTTTCATGTCGATCAGCGTGAGCGGTCAGCTTGTAAAGTCCGGCCTGTATCGTTCTTCTTATAACTACTACAACTAGCTACAAGGGGCACACAGCTTCACGTTTCAGATCTCCCGTATGCAGAGTGTGCCTCTAATTGTACCCGCGGCTGACCTTTCGTCGTTGGTCACGGGTCATTGACACCGGACTGGCTGGCGCGTGCCGCTCTTTGTCCGACGATCAGACGTGGTGTCTCCTAAGAAGGCTAGAAACCACAATGAACCATTGCTGGGCAGGCCCAGCGGAGCCCAGTCGGCCTCCTATCCGCCTCCCGTCTTATCCGTCTACGTGCATGTTTCTGTCTATATCTCTGTCTTTGTCTCTGTCTCTGCCGTGCGTTCCGTGCAGGTGACCGCCCCCGTATTAATGAGTGTGTCGTCCGTTTGTAGCTGCTCACCCGCCCCGTTGACCTCGCTCCGTTTAACTGCTCTTCGCCATGGCCGCCGCCCCTGGCTGCGTTGTCCGGGTCGACACATGGCTGTCGTCACGTGTGTGCTGACGTCACGCGTGTCCGCATGCCGACAGCACGGCGCCGACGTGCACCGGCTGGACAGCGAGGGCCGCACCAGCCTGGCGTTCGCTCGGACGGCCGGCCCGTCCGGCGCCGAGGTGGTCGACCTGCTGCGCGCCGCCGGCTGCGCCGACTCGACCGGCGCGCTGGCGCGGCGCCGCGGCAGCCTCACGCCGCGGGAGCCGGCCGCCAGCCTCATATAGCGGCGGCGGCGGCGGCGAGCTGGGAGGGCGGGAGCCGTCGGGAGCGTCGGAGGGGCCGCGGTCGGGCGACGCGGGAGCCGCGCTCGACAGCCGGTAGTGCCGAGAACGCGAGCCGAGTTTGCGGGGGCCTGAACGCCGGGGAAGACAGCCGCCACCAGCGGTCCGTCAAAACATAATGGTGTCGGCGAGTCCTCCGTGTCGCCGTGGGCTCGCCCGGCTGCTTGTATCCGCCCGCGTCCACGCTGTCAGTGTGTCTGTCTTAACCTGTACCACCCCGCGGCGTACGTGGTGCCCATTCGGTGTGAAGACGACGCCCGATGCATGGATATCATCACACCAGTCATCATCAGTTCCGTTTAACATCATTGTCACCGCTAACCTAAAAACTGTTGTATTTATTGCTGACACGCCAAATATAGGGCTTTACGACTGAACCCAGTCTGTGTGGACGCCTTTATTCGCATGTGCAGAAGGGCTCGACGGGCTGTGAGGACGTGAACTTGATCACTTCGATCACCGACGTAAACGTCATTCATGCTCTGGTGAAGGAATCGACGGAATCGACAGAAAACGTGTATTACGGCTTTAGATGGGAAGGCAGGGCACGGTAAGCCACACGGCGGATGGTCGCGACCACTGAGGCGTCGGCGTCAGTCTGCATTGCCTCGCCGCTCTCCATCTGCCGGCGCGGCGCTCGGTCGGTGCGGTCCGCGGCTCGCCGGCACTGGATTGTAACCGCGGCCGCACGCAGGCGGCAAAGCGGACTGAGGTCAACGCACAGCGCCGCCCACTCTGAGGGCCTGACCCGCGGATGGTGACCAAGGGGCCTCCAGCCACCGGCGGATGGTGACCAAGGGGCCTCCAGCCATCGGCTGATGATGACCAAGGGGCCTCCAGCCACCGGCGTATGGTGACCAGGGGGCCTCCAGCCACCGGCGGAAGGTGACCAAGGGGCCTCCAGCCACCGGCGGATGCTGACCAAGGGGTCCAACCACCGGCGGATGGTGACCGAGGAGCAAGCCACCAGTGGATGGTGACCAAGGGGCCTCCAGCCACCGGCGGATGGTGACCAAGGGGTCTCCAACCACCGGCGGATGGTGACCGAGGAGCACCAAGCCACCGGCGGAAGGTGACCGAGGGACCTCCAGCCACCGGCGAATGGTGACCAAGTGGCCTCCAGCCACCGGCGGAGGGTGACCGAGGGACCTCCAGCCACCGGCGGATGGTGACCGAGGGACCTCCAACCACCGGCGGATGGTGACCGAGGGGCCTCCAACCACCGGCGGATGGTGACCGAGGGGCCTCCAGCCACCGGCGGATGATGACCGAGGGGCCACCGGCAGCTGCCCACTCGAAAGAGCTGCGCCGAAACGGCATTCTAGTGCATATCTGTGTATTGTACGAGGGCGGGAGAGGGGAATGCGACCGAGCGAACTGGACGCTGCGCCTTCAGCCGGTCTACTACCCCGACTTCACTTTGACGGACCCCTTGACGTGGACGGACGCCTTGCCGCCCTTGACGGGCACGGTCGGCTTGGGAGCGACGGGCGGTACGTAGTTGGTCACCTTGGTTTTGCCGTCGCCGCTGATCGTGACCAGCTTGACCACCAGCTTCGTCTTGGGCGGTAGGGGCACCGGCGAGACGATGACCGGCTTCTTCACCTTGGTGCACTGGTTCGCCTTCAGTGCGATGAACCTCTTCTCCAAGAACACGATGAAGTCCAGTGGCGAAGGATGGCTGGTGGGCGCGTCCACGCTGCCCAGGAAGAGCACGACGTTCACCAGGAAGTCAGTGATGGACTCGGCCGGCGCCCGCTTGAAGTCCACCACCTGGTAGACGTAGCCTGCCCACATGTCCGCCACGGTGGTGACGCCCAGCTGCACGCATTGCTGCACGTTACGCTCCACGGTCTGCGCCACGAAGTCGATCTCGGCCAGGCTGATGAGGCGCAGCAGCAGCGGCGAGTGCAGGCCGGACAGCAGCGCCACCTCCAGGTTCAGGACCTCCAGGCGCGACTTGGCCGCGGCCACCTGCTTGGCCAGACGGTACTTGACGTCGAAGTCGAACAGGTAGCGCACTGTGCGGGCGTTAAGCAGGACGTGCGCGTGGCCGGTCTTGTGCAGCACCTGCAGCACGATGTACGACGCCTCCTGGTCGTTCAGCGGGCACGAGAAAGGCACGCACGACTCGTACTTGATCGGCTCGTGCTCCGGCTCCACGATGAAGAACTTGGTGTCGGGCACCTTGACGGGGTGGACCTTCACCACCACCGGCGGCGGCACCTTGCCCTTCACCACCACCGGCGGCGGCACCTTGCCCTTCACCGACACTGGCGGCGGCGGCGACTTGTTCGAAGCGACGGCCACGCAGGCCGCCATGGCCAGCAGCAGCAAAGCGGACCGGATCATGACGCCTCCAACTGTGGGCGACAGTGCACCGGTTGTTGAGTCGCGTAACACATGAGGATACGGACGCGCCCGTCGACAGGACCAGGGACCACCGGGCGGTGGCGGTGGCGCGACTCCCTGCCGAAAGAGCGCGCCATACAGCCCGGCTCGATCCGACGTGTCAAGCAGCGGAGTGCTGCAGCACAGCCTAGACAGCGCGTGCGCGAGAGAGCATGGGCACCCCTCGCTGCTGATAAAAACTGAAATGCACAGCACGTAGCTCCAAAGCGCAGACGGCATCCCAAGCAATGAATGCGCCCTTGTGCCCTTAAGATGGCCCCCTTGTTGAAAATTGACCGCTTGGATCTTGAACGATCAAAAGGGTAATACAAGCTACCTCTACCTTTTTGCCACACTGCTAACCACTAAATTGAGCGTTTTGCCCATACGGTATAATCCGTTTAATCGATGCGAGCAAGTTCAGGTCCATGCGCCATAAGTTGTGCGCCAAATATGGAGCGAGATCGCTGGAGTCCGCTCAGCACCACAGCCGAAGCCGTCGGCGCTCAGGCAGATCTCCTTCCTGGTCCGGCGAGGGAGTTGTGCGCGCAAAGCGGCAAGGAAAGTTAATGGCTCAAGAGTTCCGAAGCACCTGACACCCCCGGCCACCAGCAGGCGAGGCGCCGCAGCAGACGCCGCGCCCCGTGCGGTGGCCGGCCGTACCTGGCGCTGTGGAGTCGCTGCGCGCCGAACCCGCCACCCTCAGAGTGTGGTTGGCCCGGCCGACTGCGCCTGCTCTTTAAGGGCTGGGGTCGGCCCACGCCCCATCACGGCCGTGGGCGGACAAGCCGGACGACGTCACGAGCCCGGGCCGTGACAGCTGCGGCGCGTGTCAGCGCGACACCGCCGATGCCGGCGGGCCGGTCGCGGCCGCCACCCACCTGTCAGATGCCCCGCTGCCGGCCGCGCTCCCGGAGCGGGTCAACGTGCCCTCAGGCCACCCCTGGTCCCAGTCAGGCTGTACACAACACGGCCGGAGCATAGCAACACTGCTCACTGTCGGACTGTACACAACACGGACGGAGCATAGCAACACTGCTCACTGGCTGTGCACGACACGGCCGGAGCATAGCAACACTGTTCACTATGGCCGGAGCATAGCAACGCTGCTCACTGTCGGGCTGTACGCGACGCGGCCGAAGCATAACAAAACCACTCACTGTTGGGCTGTATACAACACGGACGGAGCATAGCAACACTACTCACTGTCGGGCTGTACACAACACGGCCGGAGCATAGCAACGCTACTCACTGTCGGGCTGTACACAACACGGCCGGAGCATAGCAACACTGCTTACTGTCGGGCTGTACGCAACACGGCCGGAGCATAACAACACTGTTTATTGTCGGGCTGTACACGACACGGCTCGAGCATAGTCACACAACTCGATATCGGGTTACACCCGACACGCACAGTCACAATATAGCCATAGATCCAAGCATAGTCACACTGCTCACCGTGGGACTACTGGGTGTGTCGCAGCAGAGTCGTCCAGTTCCGGGATCGTGCCAGACTATGGCGCAGGTAGCGTGTCACATCGGGTGTCGATTTCACCCAGCTGTCCAACGGTACGCCGCAGATTTGAGCTGCGATGGTGTGTTTGCAGGTTTGCAGGTTTGCTGATTTGCCACTAGCAATTTAAACTTAGCAGCTGGGTCCGTGATACAGCCGGCCTGGACCAGCCGTGCTTCCGCCTCCTCTGGTGAACGGGAGGGTCGGACACGAGACGAGCGGTGGTCTGCGTGCACCCGAATCCAGAGGGCAGTCGCCTCTCCGGTTCGGAGTGAAGCATCTTCGCTCTGCTTGCAGTCCTGCGGCCATCGGAGAGGTGTTCTTCTACGGCCCGCCGTGTTGGTGGCGACCTGGGCGCTGCGGCTACAACGGCCCGCGGGGACCGGAGCGGCTGCAACGGTACGCGGGGACCGGAGCGGCTGCAACGGTACGCGGGGACCGGAGCGGCTGCAACGGCACGCGGGGACCGGAGCGGCTGCAACGGTACGCGGGGACCGGAGCGGCTACAGCGGCACGCGGGGACCGGAGCGGCTACAGCGGCCTGCGGGGACCGGAGCGGCTGCAATGGTCTGCAGGAACTAGAACGGCGCGACGAACGGCCGCTTGGAGCGGTTTCTCCACAGCGCTCCAAAGGGAGAAAATTATGCCCCTTTAGCGCTGGGTCTGCCGGCGCGGACTGGATCAGACGTTGCACCAAACGCGGCTGATCTGGGAAAGAGTGGCACGCTGAGGGGGAGCGCTGCGTCGTGGCAGAGCGCTGGCTCGGTATCTCAGATTCCTCGAGAAGACATGGAGGAGGGAGGGAGCGCCACCGAGGAGCTAGCGTCAGAGGTGCAGCCGCCGCCTGCTGCTGGCGCTCGCTCAGCACTCTGCGCAGCATACGCCGAGCGGGGCAGGCGCGGTGGTCCCAAACTGTCTGCGGATCGTTGTATGTGACGTAACGCGGTTTTTTGCGCGTCACGCTCCCGCGTACGGGGTTCGCACAGCGGCCGCAGGCCAGGTGCCTAGCCCGGCAGGTCCGGTCAGTGTGGCCGAAACACTGGCAAATGTACACCACTGGTCTGCGTAGAGTAGGGAGGAGGGGGGGGGGGGGAGGGATCCAGGCTTTAACGGGAACCCCGACATAGCCACAATAGATAGCCCGCGGGAGTGTCAGGTTGCATTCGGATCGAGGGTTGGGGCCCAGGCCGCGGAGGGGGGGGGGAGGGGCGGGAGGGTGGATCCATGACCTTGCGCACCCCCTGCTCGGTCAGCTCCTACAGTAGCTCTTCGTCAGACAGCCCGGTAAGCTCTAGGCTGTTGAAATGTCACGGCCGATTGAATGGCCTGCAGGCGGCCTGCGGTCGTGACAGCTACCGTCCGCTCCCGGAACCCGCTTACTTTAAGCGGGGCCTGAGCTCGGCGCTTGGTGAGCACCTTCATCAGGGCTTCTGAGCGGAGCGGTTTGGCGGTCTCCGCTTCGCCAGCGTAGAGCTCGAGTTCCTAACGAATGGCGAAGCGGTTTGTTGTACGGAAATCTTTTCCGTCCACGCTTTTGAGGAGCACGAAGCTCGGCCCCCCCCCCTGGGGGGGGGGAGGGGGGCTTAAGTTCTCGCGTCGTTGACCAGCGCGCGCGCTATCCGTTACGACATATTACACACCAGTTGGCCACATTGAGGCATCGCGGTTCAGATTAATGCACACCTGCCCCGCCCGCTCCACGGTATGGGCGCACAGGCCCGATAAATTATGGTTAGTGGTTACCGCAGAGCAGCCCCGACACAGCACATGAGGAAAGGAAAAATAGGCTCATTGTACCTATTTATTACACACGTCACTCGAACATACGTTACTCGAATTGAGCCGGTGTCTCTCTCCTCTCAACACCAAGGTTCACCTCGGAATCTGTTTTCACCATGAGACAATAACGGAAGCACATTTTATACGAATCAGCACAGAGCGCAGATATTTGGAAACACATGTAAGAATCCCCGCAACAGCCGCGGAATCCCACCCTCTTTAGCCCGCCCCCAAAAGCCTACCCAGAGACCACGGCGCCGAGTGGCCTGAGGAACCGTTCAGCACGTCCCACATCGTGCTCGCCCTGGGATGGGACGTTCGCCCCCTCGCGCATGCGCACACTCGGCTGCGGCACGTTGGATGCTTGGTACGGCTGTTTCCTCCACCTAGCGGCCGGCCACGGCACCAGCGCAGGCGTAGCCGACAGCCCGGGTGACGGCCACCTGGCGACAGGCTTCTGAACCAACCATCCTCTGGTATTGGGCGCGACCGGGCCCGCGCCATGCATGAAACGGCGCTCGCGTTACTTCCCGCTTGTGCGCACGGTGATTGCCGCGGGCGGCGGGCGAGTGCCGCGCCGTGGCGAGCGAAATTCTTTACAAGGGGTTGAACAAGCCCCTCGCTGGGGAAGACGTTGATAACATGCATTAACGCTAACGAAACTTACGAACTAGTTATACTACGACCAAAAACTAGCACTACGCATACCCTTTGAGTTTCTGTGGGCGTCCCCGACCCCGACCCGTCAGCCTTTACAAAAAGCCAGCAAGAAGCGGCACGTCCTGGCCGGAGACGGGGAGAAGGCGGAGCCCAACCACGGCACGTGCACTGGACACTGAGGGCATTGAGTCCAATTACTCGTTAAAAGCTGTGGCAAGGGAGGAAATGGTATATTGAAGGCTACCAGGGCAATGCGTGGTGGAATTCTAATACAAACGCCACCACCACCTTGCCCCACAAGGGCCAAAACTAACATAATGCTGGAAAACAAGAACACTACACCGCAACGAATCACACCAATCGTACAGTTGTGTGTGTGTGTGTGATTGGGGCTTTACGACGCACTGAGCTGCTGAGGCTATAAGGCGTCGCCTGCCTCTCACCCTGGCAGGAAGGGCGGGCACCGCGGGGAATCGAACCCCAATCGTACAGTTGGCCACGGTTCGATGCGCAATCTAAATCTAAGTGCGCATTATATGATCCAGTTTTGAGAATTCTTGTGCACGTCCCCGAGGTCAGCGTCACGCGAGCTGGATTCCACATGGGTTGCCACCAATGTTGTAGGCGACAAGGTCTCTTTTGCTAGCAACGATCTCTTAGTGACGTCACTGGGAATCGGTTGCAGGAGCCAACCAGCGGCCGTTTGTAACGATTGTCAAACTAGGGATTGACTGTTGGACCGTTGGCGGTTTGGTTGGTGACTACCGCGTTCTTGAAATGCTGTTGATCTGCCGATTCTGCAACAGTATTGCTACTTATGATAAAAGCTATGCAGGCAGCTCAGCTGGTGCAGCAGCAAGCCTGTCGCTGCTAGATGGAGGATGCGACACCCGGGTCTGTCGCTGCTTGCAGAGAAATGCGGACTCCGGACCTTTGGCTGCAAGGGTAGGGGGTCTGGCTTCCGGGTCTGCTGCTGCTGGAGTGTCGCGTGGGTCTGTGACTTCTGAAGTGCGGCGCCCGGGTCTGTCACTCCTGAAGGAGAGCACGGCACCTGGGTTTACCATTGCTGGATGTCGGGGGAGGAGACTGACCTACCCAGGCCTGCTGTTGCTGAAGGGACAAAGAGCGTGGCGTCCAGGTGCGGTTCCGGGTATGCTGCAGCTGAATGAGGCCAGCGCGGCGGTAAGGTCTGCATATTCGTGTTTGTGTGTCCTGCTTCGAGTGTTGGTCACCTAGGTCTGCTGCTGCTGCGTGAGAGGAGTGTGGCACCCGAGTCTGCTGCTGTAGGAGGAGACGAATGCCTCACTAGGGTCTGCAGCTGTTGGAGTAAGAGAGTGCAGCAAGGGGGTCTGCCACTGTCTGCCACAAGGGCCTCCTGCTGCTGGAGGAGAGTGTAACACACCCTGGTCTTCTGATATCGGTAACGGGGAGGACAGTGTGGTGCCAGGATTTTCCTCTGTGGTCTACCCAGGCCTGTCACTGTCTGCCTCTTGGGTCAGCCGTAGCTGGAGATGGAGAGTCTGGTACCCGGGCATGTCGCTGCTGGAGGAGAGTGCATCACTCGGGTCCGCTGCTGCGCGCCGCATGGGTCTTCTGCTGCTTGGGGAATGAGAGCACGGCACCTGCTTCCCGTGAGGCTCGTTAGTGACTGCTCAATCACCGGACCCACCGGGGCACTCAAAGAGTCCCAACTCGCTGCGCTGCTAACACAGGCGCCTGTTGTGTGACCATGGCCACGCTGGGTCCGGGCGCCGGTGCCCTGCGGCCTACGTGGCGCACCGAGTGGCCCTGGCCGCGTGCAGCCTGAGGCCAGCTGGGTGTAAGTTTCCTATTGAGCTGGGAGTTTCAGCTCTCCAGCTTGTCTGTAACCCCCCAACTTTGAGAACAAAAAGAGTCAAATTTGGGGCATGGTTTGTTGGGACAGTTCGGGGGGGGGGAAGACTGTATCATTTATCACTCCCCCCCCCCAAAGCCCTCCCAACTCATTTTGCGAAACTACGCCCCTGCCTGAGACGGTGGATGGACTAACCCTCCTATGTGCGCACGGTCCGCTGGAGCCGTGCAACACTCGGCGTGCGGATGAGCGCCCACTCGCCCAGTTATTTTTGGGGGACAAATTGGCTATCGTCAGTCGTGCTGGCAAACTATTGGACGTTCCCGACGCATGGCTGCGAGCGGCGGATGCATGTGACCGGACGCCAACAGAGTTCCGGTTCGGTCGTAACCGAGCGCTATGACGCGAGCGCCGGCTCACTCAAGCCGTGCTGTACCGGACAGCACAGCTTCGTGCAGGCCCCAGGACAGGCCTGTAGCCTTTGGGACCGACTGGGGAGGAAGGGGGGGGGGGGGGGCAGGCGTGACCGGGTGTAGGCCAGCGGTCATAATATCTGTTACGCCTGCCTGGCGGGCGCATGTGCTAGTGCCAGTGCCGGTACCTTTGATCCTTGTTGCTGTTCATGACGGTCTCGCAGAGTGGTGGCAGCATTCGACACAGTGCAGTGACGGCAGCTGCCTCCTCTCCGGCGGCAGCCACGGCGACGACGGCGACATAAGCGGTGGCGGTAGCCGTGGCGACGACGCTCGTGATAACGCTGAATGTTCGATCCGCATTCAGCATGCGGTACGATATCGTATTCGTAAAAAGCACGGCGTAAAATATTCAAGGTACCGGGTAGCTGAGATCTCGTTCGCCTACTCGGCGTCCGTTTTTGGCCGGCGACGAAGTGACTTTCAGTGACGTCACGCCCCTGCTTGCACAGGGTGTAAGCAAATGTCTTGATGACTACCACGTATATGGGGCCTTAAATTCTCGTAGGGGATAGGTGTTTCCGTGAGGGTTGCCTACTGGTATCCAGGCAGGTCGTCTGTGTTATAAACCCAGAGCATAAAAGTAATAAGAAATACTGCGTGTCCACTCGTAAAAATCTGGACCGTGTACAGCGCGAACAGGCACTAATTGAGATTGCAGGTATGGAGGGTGGTGTAGATCAGTTATTGGCTAAATGTTTACTGTTGTTTCGTATATCTTGTTGCATGTCTTTCATGCATGCTGCTAATGCGATCTGAGTTTTATTGATGAACATAATATCCATAGTTCACCCAATAATCTCCAAGGGTGTTGTGGATAGCATCTAGTATGTACTACCACTACCTCTTTTCTGAGAGCATGTTTTGAGGGCAGCATGGTAAGGTGACAGGCCATGCCTGTCTCACTGTGGCTAAATAGCAGACACATGCCTACTGTCTGAGCCCTAAAAGAGATCTCAGGATGCAGTGCCAGGATCCCATAAGCATGTAAATGTAGGATACTGAATCAACCTGTGGGATCCGGGCATGTCTTGACTTCCATTTGCATATGACACAAGTTGTTATGAGATGAAGTAAGTTTTCTTTCATATTTTAAAGAAAAGCCAAGGTGTTTGATACAACACTGGACTCCAACATAATCACAGAATAGCAGCACTATATCATATCAACTTGATTGTCCCCAGTGTCAATTCTCATTAACAATGCAATGGATGTGAGCACCTGGTCAGATGTGCTTTATGATGGACACAACTATTTGTTTGTCTGCCATTGTTCAGAATACAATGTGGTGAGATTGGAGCACAATGGAGTATAGACACATTTGGCATAAGCACATCTCCATTGCAAGTGCTTCTTCAACAGTGCCCTACCCCTCTACATAAAACCTGCCATGTATGGCATTATAACCCGTATTTAAAGTTTTTTTGTGAAGAGCCTTTATCATCTGGCCTATTCATTAAACAGGACTTCCAAAAAGTTTTCATACCATGCAGTGCTATGACATGTGTGCTCCAGACCAGGTTGACCCCTTTTGCCTGTCAGGTGACATTTCCATGATGTTCAGGGGAAACTATGAGTTTGCCTTGGAACTTGCATATGTTATAGCTCAGGGAAAGGCCCAGCATATTTCTGGAGGTGGTTATTGAAAACATGTAATCCTACTGAGCTTTGTTAACATAAATTATTCACTTTTCATAACCTTGGCATGACAGCAGTAGAGGCTCTAGTAACAGTATTGCGAGCTGTGGGAAAAATAGTAGGTCTAGAGGAACATGCTGTATTCCAGAAAGTTAATGTTGCATTAGATCATAACACATTATGTCCTGTTGGTTTCTGGAAAGTATCCCCTATGTCATGATCATGAAATTGTCATGTGAAAAATGCTATGTTGATGCAGGCTTTTACAGCATTTACCACTAGTTATTGTCTCCACTGAACAGTCTTTATGGCTGTCAGGTGATGGTGGCAGCATATGCCATAACTCAGGCATAGAGTGTGGTTTTAACTGCATTAATTCTGCTGCCATAAGAAAGGCAATATCAAATTGTGGTTTGGTTTACTCAGTGACATCATGTCAAAGCTCTGCAAGGGACATCTGGTGGTTGTAAGGCTATAAGCATATATTTTTTCCAAAACTGATGTTCTCTTCTCCCAAAAATCTTACCTTCAGCTTGACAAAACTTTTGCAACTTGAAAACATCTCCAAAACACAAATAAGAAGCAAAACAACAAAAGGAATTGACCATAAATTTTGTACCAAGCACAGGTGGATTTTTATTCACTTGTATAGGCTTTTCGTTGTTTGTTTTTTATTGAGGGTACTTGAATGTTTTCGTACATGTGACACATGCTGTGCTTCAGCCCAGGTGCATTCAGCGCAGCGCACCTGCCAGCAGCGAGTCCCCGGGGCCCACCGTTTGCCAATGGCCAGGCTGCAGCGCGGCGACCCTGGCAACCACACCAACGGCCTGGAACTCGACGAGAACGCTTCGGACGAGTCGGACTTCTTCCTGGTGCACACGGGCCCGACCGGCACCACCATTAACAAGATCCGGCCGGGCGGCTATCCGTCGGCGGCGCCGGCGGCCGGACCGCCGCGAGAGCTGCCGACCGGCCGCAATGGCTCGCCCTCCTTCTCCAACACGGTACGCGGTCCGACGGCACGCATTGGGAGGGGGAGGGGGGGGGGGGGGGCCTCGTCAGCGATGGTAGTCTTCTGAGGTTGGTGTGACTGCCTGCGGCACTCTCTCCTCCGGCTGTGGTCTGAGGCGGCCCGGGCGGGGTCGGAGCCGGAGCCGGAGCCGGAGCCGGAGCCGGAGCCGGAGCCGGAGCCGGAGCCGGAGCCGGAGCCGGAGCCGGAGCCGGAGCCGGAGCCGGAGCCGGAGCCGGAGCCGGAGCCGAGGCCGAGGCCGAAGTGGCTGGGACTGACGCGGCACCCCGCGGCCCGTAGGTAGCCGCGCCCACCGCCGTGACCGGCATCACCCGGAAGCGAAAGATCGACAAGGAGGAGAAGGACAGCGCCGAGCGGGAGGGGCGCAAGACGCGCACCGAGCAGCACGGCGCCGGACCGGGCGGCGTGCCCATGGTGTTCGACAAGCAGTACCTACGCACCGCCGACCATCTTCACCCCCAGATCGATGGTAAGGACCGGCAGCCTTCACCTGCCGCGTGAGATCCGGTCTGTCGGGCCCCCGCACTGCAACGAGAAGGGCACGGGTCGTTTTTGTCCTGTGCGATATGGAAAATTCGATCGGAACGAAAAGGTCATAGCTTTCGCCAAGGTCATCTCTTGACATTGCCTCTGCTAACGCGGCTTAAGGTATCTCCTTATCGCATTTATCCTTACCGCACTTGTTCGTACGCAAAGCTTTTTACATAACCTTTCGTGCATCAAGCTCTTTATCCGCAAATCTGGACGCGCAAATATGTTTACTCCCATTGTCCTTTTTGTGCTTCCCTTTTCGCAGTTTCAGTTCCGCGAAACTTCGAAACTATCAACTTTCAATACTAATGCTAAGACATGCAAATATTTGCATATTTTTGCCACACGGTATCTTATAAATGCCATTCTTGATATCGTATTTCTTCCGATGCGGATCTCTTCGTTTCGCGTTTTTTTCGTTCACGCATTTCTTCGCATCGCATGTGTCAGCAAATGCGTTTTTGCATCGTATTTTTGGTGTACACAATCCCGTGTGCGAAACGTCCGGCACTCAGAGCACGCACGTTGGTATTTCATTGTCTTCCTTCGCCGTTGTTCCGCTACCTCAGTCGATCCCAGTTTCCACTTAATTTCGGCTGCGTCGTAGTTGTGGCCCGTGGTGAAGATTTCTTTATCGCTCCATCATGTGTGTCACGGTTCTCTGTTTCCCAAACGTGACGCCGCAGCTGACGACCGGCGTGATTGTCAGCACCTCCCCTCCGTCCCCATAGCTCAGATGGTAAGGCGTTGTGCGCGCGAGGTGTCACAAACATTTGAGCTCGCTCCACAGAAATCCCACGCCGTAAAGGATCCGTACGCCGCTCCAAAGACCCGCCCCTGGCTGTCACGGTCGTACAGTTCCATCAGCAGTCAGCAGGGGGCGTGGTTTGTTTATGGAGGCGGTCCGCGTGCAGCTGCATATTTACTCAAAGTCGCTGGACTAACATGATATGTGTATCTGCCATTTAAGAAATGTCACACACAGTGCTTAACTGACAGACAAAGCAGACTAATCGTGGACTGTAACCCATTCGTGTCAGCCATGAGTGTAGGGCGGCGGGTTATGCACACATTGCACGATGTGGCGTTTTTTCCACGCAGCATTACAGATATCCGCCGTCACCTCCCCGGCTCGGCATCCGGCAAATTAAGGGAATATCGCATTTTTATGGTGGTGCGATTCGCATGCGAACCACAAAATCTTGCGTGTGCGTGCATACCCATGTATGCGTACGATGAACTGCATGCGTGAAAAATGCGACGCAATTAGAAGCACAAAGAAAGAATTGAAATGCTTACACAAAAGGAATCCATGGGAGCGTAAGTCCTGTTGTACGCAAGCTGACACCAAACCGTGCGGGTGCTTCTCAGTGGCAGAGATGTATGTGCGTTGCGCGGTGCAACATGAGGTCATATCAGTGCATGCGATAATCGCACATGACTACGCACTGCCCCACTCCCCATATGACTTACACGCATTTGGACTCCTGCAGTTTCTTTATTGCAAATTTGAATAACTGCGATGTGAAGAATTGTGTGTGCGGCAAACGTGCGATGCGAATGGGTCCATCGACGAAGAAATCTTTCACGAAAAACTGTGTACGCGACGAAGTGTGATACGGAGAAATCCTTGCACGAAAAAACGCCGTGCGAATAATTGCGTACGTGAAGACAAACGACATGAAGAGTTGCGTTTGCGAGCACTGGCGTGCACGAAGCAATGTATACACGATTAACTGGCACGTAGTGTTTTGAGCGAAGTCTCGTGAATGCAAAATTTTGCGCTACGGATATATTTCTGGGCAAGTCTTGCGTTGAATATTTGCGTGGGAGATGTCTTATGAAGATATGCGGCCCGATTAATTAAGCGTGCAGAGAAATGTGATGTGTTGTTCCGTATTGGAACCCCACGGTAAGTTAGGCTGTCCAGTGCTATTTCGAGGATCGCATTGGTCCGCTTTGTTCCTTTGACCTGGCGACGTCAAGCTTTTTGGTGCTGTTTGCACCAAAAATTGCACCAAAAAATTAATGAACGCGGTGTTCAGCCAATCACCACACAGGCGTCAGCCACCCCGTTCGGAAACGGTCGCTGTCACGCTGTGCGTTGTGTGCATCTGTTGCCTGCACTCTGGAGATGCTCTTGGTGCACACTCAGCGAACGCCACCCTCTTCGTCCGCTGGCGGTGGACGGAGTTCTGGTTTGGCAAGGCTGGAGCCTTGTCTGCCGTGATTGATCGTTACAACACTGGGGTGAGGGAGAACAGTATTTGATGGGCAATGCTGCGGCCATCGTGGTTTGTCATCACTACCGAGCCGTACCCCGGCCAGGGGCCCCAAATCCCCGGGTGTCCGGGCTGAACTGCGCCAATGCAACCGTCAGCCCGGCTCACGGCTAAAGGCCGCACCACGCTCCCGTGAGTCGGAACACGGCGAGGAGTCGGCATGAAACGGCGAGCGGGGTGACGGAGGGGGGGAAGGGGTGGTATTACCAGGACCGCGCACAGGTCATGACCGCGCCACCCAGCCGTTCGGCTCGGGTGGGGTGGCCGAGGCTGGGTGCTTCAGCTTCGGCTGGGGTGGCCGAGGCCGCCGCCGCCGCGGTGCGACGCTCAGCAGACTTCGGCCCCAGCGCGGCATGGGAGCCCTCGCAAACAAGTCCGCATCAGACGGCGCACAAGGATGGTCAAAATGTTGCTGCCGCCATGCCGACGCTGACGGCGGACCACAGCTTATTCTGAGCACAAAACAGCGACAGATCGATGCCTCGCCAGCTGAGCGCTGCCACATTTCAGTTGTCTATCCGTGCTTATGGTTTGGGCAGCTAACAGCATGTGCACCTAGTTATTCATTCTCGTGTGAGTGAGGCTTATGATTAATATGAATGTGGGCGCCAAATGGCCACTGCAGTCGGCACGACGGAAAACCCCAATATACAACAATAATATAGCAATAATATTTGGTTATGGTTATGGTTATAGTGGTCTAGTCGTCTGATCACGTTCCGGCCAAAAGCGTGCGACAAACAACGATTTTCTCCATAGCCTGCGGCGGTTTGAAGGTGCAATGCATTCAACCTGACCTGGCTAAGAGTCATGGCGACGCATCGGCCGGCGATCATACTGATTTGCGTATCTTCGAGAGGCTATTTTCTCCGCGATTATGAAGTGTTTGGATTTTCGGAATGATCGGGTCTAGGCGCAGAGGTGTTACAGGGGATGTTCCACATCTGATGATATTGAGGCAAGCATCAGATGCAGTGAATTAAGGTCACTTGCAAGTATTGGTTTGCTTTTATGTGGATGTAGCAGACTGCCCTGGACAGTATAATCTCATTATTTAGAAATATTTTCCTCAAGGCGACATCGCTTGATTGCGTCATAGCACGTCTTTACGACGTCGGAGTCGCTGCCATACTGGCCGTATCAGAATTGCCACTGTAGCGGACGCGCTGACTCGCTTGTAGTATTGTGACTTGCCGTTAGGTAGAGTTTTCGGCTGGGGCGTGTGCTTGACCCGACTATCGTTATATGCCTGGGTTTTGAACTTTTGTCATGTTGCTCTTATAAATTCGGCCGCGATTTTCATCTTGTTTACTTGGACTTACATGTTCAGAAATGGCACTATTCTCAAGTTACTTGGCGCGCTGATAGCGCCTGAACTAAGGCATCCCAGCAACAGCGGTGTCCTGCGAGCACAAGACACCCCACAGCTCCCACGAATGCCGCGCATTCCAGCTCCCGTGCTCAGAACTTGTGGTGCGGCTTCTTCCCCGGCATTGCACACACACGCGCACAGCAAAACGAAGGCATCGAGCTGCTCAGTGTCCGCGCTCTTCATTGAGTTTGAACAAGAGCACGGCCGGCGCATCTTGTACGCGCTGATGGTCCCCGACGTCACCGCAGACGTAGACGCTAGTCGGCATGCTCGTAGCTCCACTTGTTATCTGTGATTCTCATCCAGAATGTCTGGGACTCCCAGATTTCTATTCAACATAAATTTAGGTAGCCTCATGCAAATGAAGGCAATGTCCTGCACAGTTTTTCAAAAAGCACATGTCGTCTCCGTTGCACAGGAATCCTGTTTGTCCAGTCGGTGCTATTCGGGATAAAAGAAAGAAAAAACGCCACGGAGCCCTGCATGGTGGTGCCGGGACATGGACCCAGTGGAGGTCCCTCCTCCCCGTCCCATGCAGCGATAGCCCCGCCTCACTCCGGCAGCGGCATTCACTTCCGTCGCTCCGGTCACCGACAAATCAGCAGAGACCAATGGGCAGTTGCTACGTGGGTGACAGCGCGTTGACGTAAATGGACGGATGGTCAAAGACTCGGTTGGGGCTTGCATAGTGCTTTATAAAACGGTGCGATATGCCTCCATTGGAAATAGTTAACCGGTTGCCCTTTGAGCTCACTATGGTCCCCACAGACATGACTCCGGCAAGAATAGCTTCCGAGGCGCTGCCGCTGACAGTTATGCTGTGCCTCGACCATCCTGTTGGGAGCATAGTGACGCGGCGAGCGGTATTCTACTGTCGCCCGAAAAAGCAGGACGTATTGCTATTATGACGGCACCACCAAGCTCGCACGCTTGGAATTACACCTTGGCGCGGTGTAAGGGGATGCGTTATGCTGGTGCGCGTTGTCATTTCCGTCGCTGGAACGTTACGACGCACCCGGCTGCTGAGGCTCGGTAGTGTCGCTCGCCTCTCACCCTGGCGGCAAGGCCGGCAAGTGACCCCGTGCCTCGGGCTCCCCGAGCGCGTGGCGAGGCTGCTGCGCCACCGACACCGCGGCGTCCTGTGCTCCGTTATCATACCACTGCAGACACCGATATCACATCGTACCTGATTTATTTACCTCGGCATTCGACGCATTTGACCAAGCATTTGACATAGGACGTGTGGAGACGGGCATAAAACTGATCTGACGTGACATTTTTTGA